GGCAGAGCCTTCACTGGCCGACCACCCCTCCAGCTGGGCCCCCCGGAGCCTGCTCACCAGCGATTCTGCGGCCCAGGGCTGCGTCCAGTGCGAGCTCCCTCCTGATCGCCTCCTCAGAAGGCCTAGGGGCCCCGGGGAAGCAGACCAGGATGCAGGTCATGTTGTCCAGGCTGCCCTGAAGCCGGTGGAGAAAACGGAGCCCAGTGGGGGAGAATCGAAGGCAGAGCTTCCCAACAATCCCCAAGTTCAAGTCCCCCACTTCATTCTGGTTATGCCTCTTTCTTTCACGTCCCATTCACCTGCCAGTCCTCTCCTACTGGGACCAAACCCGGTCCTAGGCCCTCCCTATTGAGAGAATAATGCCCTTTCCCTAAAGCTCTGCCCGCTCTGATGTTTACCTGCTCTTCCACCTTCCAGCACTAATCATACTTCAGGCCTGGCTCCTACGACCCAGAATCGCCCCATTCCAAAAGACCAAGCCCTTTGTCTTAAATCCCTTCCGCTAACTCTCCCCTCCTGCCTCAAAGCATCCCTCAGGCTTCGCTCCTGTATTTTGGCCCTGCCCACTTCATGCCACGCCCTTCGCTTGAGCCCCATCCCCTCCTTCTCTAGCTTTACTCTTGCCTCTGCATCAAAGCCGTCCTCCCCAAAACCCCGAGGCTTTCTCTCTTTGCTGCGCCAAGCCTCAAAGATACCACGCCACGCCCCCAGGACCTTGCACAGGCACGTGTCCAACAGCTGCGCGCAGAGAAGCTCTGGGGCCAGACCCAAGCGGAGGCGCGAAGCCACCAGTCCCGCCAGGGCAGCAGCAGACATAGTGTCCCAGACGCCATCAGAGGCCAGGAGCATGAACTCGTCCTCAGTCTGGCGTGCCAGTGCGGCCACCTCAGGCTCCGCAGAAACAAGCTGTAGCTCGGGGGGCCTCCCCGGAGCCTCCTTGTAGGCAAAGTCGCCCAACGCTCGCGACACGGCCAGAGAGCCCTCGACGCGGCGGCGGCGGATGGTGCCGCCAGCGGCATGGATGCGCTCGCGTTCCCGGGGTCGAAGGGGCCGGTGGTCCTCTGTGCTGAAGGCCACGGCACCAGCGCGGCTCAGCACCGCGCGGGAGTCACCGCAGTGCGCCAGGTACAGAAACCGCGGGGAGACCAGCAACGCCACGGCCGTGGAGCCGCCTGTTTCCACGCGGGGCCAGAGGGAGCGCAGGCGCTTGTCGGCGCTCAAGAAGGCTCGGCGCAGCGCGTCGCGCACGCCCTCGGGCTCGCTAGGCTCCGGGCCCAGCTCCTCGAGCACATGGTCTGGCAAATGGCGTGCACCGAAGCGGGCAGCTCGAGCCCCACCGTGGCCGTCGAGGACGGCAAACAAGGCCCAGCCCAGGGGCAGACCAGGTAACGAAAGCCAAGTGCAGTGGGCATCCTCCATGCGCGCGCGCCAGCCTTGCGCTGCGCTCGCCCCGAAGCGCAGGCCACAAGACGCCTCGGCACCCCCGTGCGGCCGCTGGGCGCGCCGCGGCGCTGTCAACAGAGACCGAGGCCCATCGAGGGCCCCGCGCCCCTCCTCTTCATCCTCCTCTTCCTCCTCCCCCTCCTTCTCCCTCTCCTTTTTCTTGCAAGCGGTCCAGAGGAGACGCTGCAGCTGGCGGGCCAGGGCCGCCATCCTTCAGCCCTGGGATCAGGAAGTCTCCACCCTGTACACCTGCCCGCCCCCTCCATTAATCCCCTCCGCTGTGAGATTTTAAACCATCTAAATCTCCTGCCTGTCCTTTGACCCTCTTTAGGCGGGTCACTAGAAGGAATTACACTTCTGGGTCTCCTCTCTCCTGCACCTACAAAGCGGGGTTTGGGATCTCAATCAGGAAAAAAAGAAAAAAGATAATGCTGTATCAGTAGCAAACTATCACATAGTACTAATGTGTCGCACGCTGTTATACATCATCATCTCCAGTTTACAGATGGAAGAAGAAACAGAGTCACAGAAGTAACCGGTGTTACAGGGAAACTAATTCTAGAATCTGTGTTCTCAACATAACACCCAATCCAAGCTCCTCCCGCCTCCGTGGTACAGCCCCCAGCCTCAAAACCTGTAAATACCATACTTGGCCGGGCGCGGTGACTCACGCCTGTAACCCCAGCACTTAGGGAGGCCATGGCAGGCGGATTGCTTAAGCCCAGGAGTTTGAGACCAGTCTGCGAAATATAGAGAGACCCCGTCGCTACAAAAATTAAAATTCAGCCAGGCGCGGTGGAACACACCTGTGATCCTAGCTACTCGGGAGGCTTAGGTGGGAAGATTACCTGAACCCGGGAGATCGAGGCAGCAGTGAGCCATGATGGCATCACTGCATTCCAGTCTGGGCGACGGAGCGAGACCCTGTCTCAAAAACTATATATATGTATGTATATTTTTTTCTTTACTTTTTTTAGTTCGACCCCTCCCCTCTGGGGCTTCGGCTATTTTCTCTTCCAGGCCCTGCCCATCCAGGATTCACGCACACAGCTCCAGACCCTTCTAATTTTCGCACACTTGGAATCGCCTGGAAACCGACTCCACCCAGTTATATTTGAATAATTCCCCGTGGCTTTAGCCCCGCCCATGTTTGAGCTCCTCCGCGTGCCCCGAAAGTTTCTGAATCGTTTCTTTCGGCCCCCTTTCTCGCTCCCTCTGCAAATCTAGGCTCAGACCCTACCTCAGAGCATTAGAATCTTTCCACCCCCTCCTCAATGGCACCCCTGGCTCCACCCCAACACACTCAGGGATCCACGCTCCTATCCTCTCTGCTAAGGCTCGTTCACCATCCTCTCCCGTGTCCCTCGCCCGACTCCAGGCCTCGGCCCCTCTTCCCCTAAAGGCTGCGCCCTCTGCGGTCTAGGCACCGCCCTTCAGGCCGCTTTCCACTCCTTCCTGGCACTGTCGCCCACCCTCTTGGCTCCGCCCCTTTAGTAAGAAGGCCACGCCCCTCCGTCTGCTCCTCGGCGTTTCCCCGCCCCTCGCCCTCCCTCTGGTACCGCCCCGCCCATCCTCTGGCCCCGCCCCCGGCCGCGCGCTGCAGTGCCTTTCCCACCGCGGCCCCGCCCGCCCCCGCCGAGCCGAGCACAGGGCGGCGGCGGCGGCGGCGGCGGCGGCGGCGGCGGCTGCTGGAGCAGCCCGGGAGGAGGAGGCTGCGAGGATGGCAGCGGCGTCGTGGGCGCGGCGGAGATGAGCGCCCGCGACCCCGGGCCCAGGGCGGCGCAGCCGGAGTGGGCGGGGGTCCCGATGCAGGCCCAAGGGGGGCCATGGGGCAGGTCCTGCCGGTCTTCGCCCACTGCAGTGAGTAGACGGAGGCTGGGGCCTGGGGTGGGCCCCAGACGTCCAGGTGGGGTACTCCCCGGTGTCCCCTCAGCGCTTGCCCGCAGGAGAGCCGGAGTGGGGGGAGGAGGCATAGGAGACAAAGGAAGCTCTCCCCTCCCCCGCTCTCTGGCGGCGACGGGGGCAGCCTGACCCGGAGGACCTGGACGAAACAGGGCGGAGGTGAGGGGCCACTGAGACAGCAGGCGAGGGGCGCGCTGCGCTCTGGGATGTGCCTCCCGGCCCCGCCCGGGAACGTGGACGCGCGCGGGGAGCTGTCCCCAGGCTCTGGTGCTGGCCGCAGCTGGCGGGGAGGGGGTTGAACGGAGGGTAGATCCAGGATGGAAAACAGGGGTCTGGCTCCTAATCACTCGTCTTCGCATCCCACCCCGTTTTCTGTCCAAGAGACAGCCCCGACCTCGCCCAAACTGTCCAACCCCCTGTCCCGGGAAAACAGCCATCCGTGGTTTGGGGGCAAGGACTCATGGGTCCTTAGTGGCCTTTACCACTGATTAATGGTAATCCTGGGGAAGACCCACACCACTCCAGGCCTCCCATTCCCCAGCTGAGAAAACAAGGTGAGGGCACAGGGCGTCAGATTTCAATTTCTAAACCGCATTGAGCATCATCTACGTGCAAAGCTCTGAACTAGCTCTAAGGGGCTGGATTCCCAGCTGAAAACGCCTAGCTTGATCCTCCCAATCTCTGAGCTCACAGCTGTAACAGTTCATGTCTACCGTTCTCTGTCCCGCACATGGGGGTTCTGACAGCTGGGGATTTCAACACCCTTAGATCTAGCCACTTTCATGTCTTGGGTGTCCCGATGCCAAAATGCCAAGAATTGGTGATTTCAGCATATCCGAGTACCATCCCAACATTCTAAGATCTTGTTGTTAACTTCAGATTACAAAGGGAGGACCATCTCATCTGTCCCTCCCCACCCCCCTTACCTCTCTGTCCTCACCTCCCACCCCTCTCCTCCTCAGTCACTCTTCTCCAGTCACATCTTCGCACCTTTCTGTTCCTCAGATGCCAATCTTGGTGCCTGGCTCAGGGCCTTTGCACTGGTTTCCTTCTGTACCTGGAAGTCTTCCCTGAACATCTGCATGGCTTCCTCACTTCCTTCAGATCTCTGATCAAACTTCCTCTTATCAGAGAAGCCTTCTTGACCACCCTATGAGAAACAGCACCCCTTCACTTTCTTCACTTTCTCTCCCCCTACCTTTCTTTAATTTGCTTCATATGCTCATCTGCACCCGACATCATATATTCACTTGTTTATTGTTTGTCTCTCCCAAAGAGTGTCAGCTCTAGGAAGGTAGGGATTTTGTCTGTTTTCTTCACAGCTATATCCCCAGGACCTAGAACAGTGCCTGGCACATAGTAGGTGCTCAATAAATGGTTGTTGAACGGATGAATGAATTGAAACCTCCTAAGATTCCTACTTTGTTGGCCACCCAGCCCAGCTTAGAGTCTTGAAGACTCTAAGATTAAGATTCTTGGATTTGGACTTCTAAGACTCTGAGCTTCATCAGGCAGTGATGCTAAGTTTTAGAGTCTGTGTGCAGAATGTTCTAAAAGTCCCGTGATTCAAATATTCTAAGATTCCAGGACTGGCACACTTCTGTGATTCGGACAGTCTAAGCTTCTAAGAGTCTTCGATTCTTTCCCTCTCGCAGAAGAAGCTCCGTCTACAGCCTCCTCAACCCCTGATTCCACAGAGGGTAAGTGGAGGGGAGCATGTGAAGGGGTTCAGGGCTGGGCAGCTCAGGGGCCTGCTGAGGGAAACAAGGCTCTCCTTCACCCACTGCAGGAGGGAACGACGACTCTGATTTTCGGGAGCTGCACACAGCCCGGGAATTCTCAGAGGAGGACGAGGAGGAGACCACGTCGCAGGACTGGGGCACCCCCCGGGAGTTGACCTTCTCCTACATCGCCTTTGATGGCGTAGTGGGCTCCGGGGGCCGTAGGGATTCAACTGCCCGCCGCCCCCGCCCCCAGGGCCGCTCAGTCTCGGAACCACGAGACCAGCACCCTCAGCCCAGCCTGGGCGACAGCTTGGAGAGCATCCCCAGCCTGAGCCAATCCCCAGAGCCTGGACGCCGGGGTGATTCTGACACCGCCCCTCCATCCGAGCGCCCCCTGGAAGACCTGAGGCTTCGGTTGGACAAGCTGGGCTGGGTGGCCCGGGGAGTGGGATCCGGGGAGGACTCTTCCACCAGCAGCTCCACCCCGCTGGAAGACGAAGAACCCGAAGAATCCAACAGATTGGAGGCAGGAGAAGCTGGGGAAGGTGAGATGTCCGAGGTGCTGGGACCGAAGCCAAGAGGGGTGGGTGGTTTCTCCTCGGGGCACCTCCAAGAAGAAAGCTCATGGCCTTCTCTCTCTACCGTGTCAGAACTGGACCTACAACTCCGACTTGCTCAGTCCTCACCGCCCGAGGTCTTGACTCCCCAGCTCAGTCCGGGCTCTGGCACACCCCAGGCCGGTACTCCGTCCCCATCCCGATCGCGAGATTCGAACTCTGGGCCCGAAGAGCCTTTGCTGGAAGAGGAAGAAAAGCAGCGGGGGCCACTGGAGCGAGAGCCAATAAGGGGACAGTGCTTCGATAGCACGGACCAATTAGAATTCACGGTGGAGCCACGCCTTCTAGGTAAGTAACGTGTGTGAAGATGCTGGGTTGGACCACACAAGGCAAAGGGTGAGAGGATTTTGAATTAAAGGGACCAACCTCGCAAAGGAACAGCAGATAGTGGAAAAGGGAAAAGGTATTGTTACTGGCTAGACGTGATAAACTCCGCTCTTTTAAAAAAAATTCCCCGGCTGGGCGTGGTGGCTCACGCCTGTAATCCCAGCACTTTGGGAGGCCGAGGCGGGCGGATCACTTGAGGTGAGGAGTTCGAGACCAGCCTGGCCAACATGGTGAAACCCTGTCTATACTCGGGAGGCTGAGGCAGGATAATCGCTTGAACCTGGAAGGCAGAGGTTGCAGTGAGCCAAGATCGCGCCACTGCACTCCAGCCTGGTTGACAGAGCGAGACTCCTTCTCAAAAAATAAAAATAAAATAAAATAATCCTCCCTCTTCTGGAGTGCTCCTCCTAGTGGCTGATTTTGGACAGACCAAATTCCTGAAAAAATGCAGTTCTTTCCTTATTTAGATGTGGCCATAGAATATTTATAAGTAAACTCTGTGCCTTTTAAAAACTCTTCTTTTTGGCCGGGCGCAGTGGCTCATGCCTGTAATCCTAACACTTTGGGAGACCGAGTTGGGAGGATCGTTTGAAGCCAGGAGTGCAACACCAGCCTGGGCAACATAGGGAGACTCGATCTCTATTTGAAAAAACAAACAAAAGCCCTCTTTTTCCTGACCACATCTATTGACCAGTTGTAAAATGGCCCAGCCTTACTTTAAAATATGCTCCACCTCCAGGAACAGCTATGGAATGGTTAAAGACATCATTGCTTTTGGCTGTTTACAAGACGGTTCCAATTTTGGAATTGTCCCCACCTCTATGGACAGCCATTGGCTGGGTCCAAAGGGGCCCCACCCCCCCTACTCCTGTCCTCCGGGTTCTACTGAAGTGGGCAAAATCCCCGAGAAGCAGCGGTGTCCCCAGCCTCTCACTCGGAGCCGATATGGGGAGTAAAGGTGGGCTTGCGGAACGGGCTGGACGGGGGCTGAGGTCGGCGGAAGGGGGTCCGGACTCGCCCTTATCTCCTGCACCTCTGGGGCACGTTTGTTACTGGTCTGCTTCCCCAGCGTTGCAGGCTGAGGCTAGGGGGCCTAGGGGCAGTCTAGGGAGGACCTAGAGGGAGAATGGGGTCCCTTCTCCTTCGAGCCAGCACTTTCGGGCCCAGGAGCAGGGAGGACCCCCTCCCCCAGCCTCGTCCCAGGCAGCGCTGTCACTCAGGGGCCAGACGGGCCAGAACAGCTGCGGGGAGGCCCCCTCCCCCCAGCATGCCTAAACTTAGCCCCCGCCTCAGGCGACCTGGCCCCTCCCCCATCCACTGGCGGCGGCCACTAGGAGCCTGCCTGGGAGGGCCCTGCGATGGGGAGGGAGGGGGCTGTCCTATTTCGAGGTAAATGAGAGATGCATTGGAAGGATACAGAAGTGAGGGGTGATTCACCTCTAAGAGGGACAGGTCAGAGGGGTCAGTTGGAGGGAGGGTGGGAGGATAGAGAGGGTCTGGAAAGAAATAGAAAAGTACCGAGTTCCTGGTTTTCAGGACTCAAATGAAAGCAGACTACTAAAGTTTCTTTTTCTTTCTAAGCGACAGAGTCTGTTGCTCTTTCTGGAGTGCAGTGGTGGGATCATAGCTCATTGCAGCCTCCAACTCCTGGGCTCAAGTGATCCTCCCACCTCAGCCTCCCGAGTAGTTGGGACTACAGCCGCAGGCCACCACGCCCGGCTAATTTTCTTATTTTGTTTGTAGAGACAGGGTCTCACTATGTTGTCCAGGCCTCAGGTGATCCTCCTGCCTCAGCCTCCCAAGGTGTTGGGATTACAGGAGTGAGCCTAAAGTTTAGACAGATAAGATGAAGGTTGGGGTACAAAGGTCACTGCTCAGGGCTGAGGTTGGGTTTAGGAGGTGTGTTTTAGGGTCTCAGAAAGGGGTCAGAAATTTGAGTTAGGCCCTGGAAAGGAGTATGGCGTTATTAATACATTTAGGACTTAGAAACATGTGTTGCTAAGGGCATCAAGGGGATATCACTTTACACCTGACAGATTGGCAAAAGTTAAAAAGAACTATGACCCACGGCAGGGCAGGATGCTGGGGAAAGATCTTTCTCTTGCTTCTTGTGGAAATAAGAACTGTTATGGTCTTACTAGTAAGCAGTGTTTCAAAATTTAAGACATTAAAAATTACATATGACCGGGCACGGTGGCTCATGACTATAATACCAACATTTTGGGAGGCTGAGGTGGGAGGATCACTTGAAGCCAGGAATTCAACCTGGGCAATATAACGAGACCCTATCTCTACAAAATATTTAAAAATTAGCCAGGCTAGGCATGGCAGCTCATGCCTGTAATTCCAGCTACTTGGAAGGCTGAGGCACAATAATCTGTTGAACCCAGGAGGCAGAGGCTGCAGTGAGCTGAGATCATGCCCACTGTACTCCAGCCTGGGTGACAGAGGAAGACTTTGTCCAAAAAAAAAAAAAAAAATTAGCAAGATATGGTGATGCCACCTATAGTCCCAGTTGCTAGGAGGCCGAGGTAGGAGGATTGCTTGACTCTGGGAGGTAGAGGCTGCAGTGAACCATGATCATGCCACTGCACTCCAGCCAGGGTGACAGAGTAAGACCCTTTCTCCAAAACTAAAAATAAAAAATAAAAATAAAAAAATACGGCCGGGCGTGGTGGCTCATGCCTGTAATCCCAGCACTTTTGGAGGCCAAGGCGAGTGGATCACCTGAGGTCAGGAGATCAAGACCATCCTGGCGGCCGGGCGCGGTGGCTCAAGCCTGTAATCCCAGCACTTTGGGAGGCCGAGATGGGCGGATCACGAGGTCAGGAGATCGAGACCATCCTGGCTAACACGGTGAAACCCCGTCTCTACTAAGAAATACAAAAAATAGCCGGGCGAGGTGGCAGCGCCTGTAGTCCCAGCTACTCGGGAGGCTGAGGCCGGAGAATGGCGTGAACCCGGGAGGCGGAGCTTGCAGTGAGCTGAGATCCGGCCACTGCACTCCAGCCTGGGCGACAGCGCGAGACTCCGTCTCAAAAAAAAAAAAAAAAAAAAAAAAACCATCCTGGCTAACAGTGAAACCCCATCTCTAACTAAAAATAACAAAAAATTAGCCAGGCATGGTGGCACATGCCTGTAATCCCAGCTACTCGGGAGGCTGAGGCAGGAGAATGGCTTGAACCTAGGAGGTGGAGGTTGCAGTGAGCCGAGATCACATGCACAATTGCACTCCATCCTGGGCAATAAGAGTGAAACTCTGTCTCAAAAAAAAAAAGAAAAAAAACAAGACAAGACCAGGCATGGTAGCTCATGTCTGTAATCCCAACACTTTGGGAGGCCAAGGTAGAAGGATTACTTGTAGTCAGGAGTTCGAGACCAGCCTGGCCAACATGGTGAAACCCCATCTCTACCAAAATATAAAAAATTAGCCAGGCGTGGTGGTGCCATCCTGTAATCTCAGCTACTCAGGAGGCTGAGGCAGGAGAATCGCTTGAACCCGGGAAGCGGAGGTTGCAGTGAGCCGACTGTGCCATTGCACTCTAGCCTGGGCAACAGAGCGAGACTCCATCTCAAATAAACAAACACATAACCAGTCCACCCAGCAATTCCACACTGGAAATCTATCTCAGAAATAGCCGCTCCAGGAGGTGAGAATATCTGTTGAAGGATGTTGCTTGCAGCTCTGCTTGTGGTGAAGGGGTTAGGAAACAAATTGACCCAGCAATAGGTACATAGTTAAATAAAATGAATGACAGCATAGCCACAACACAGAATACTATGCAGCTCTTTAAAAGAATGAATTAAGGCCAGGCACGGTGGCACATGCCTATAATCCCAGCACTTTGGGAAGCTGAGGCAGGTGGATTGCTTGAGGCCAAGTGTTTAAGACCAACCTAGCAAACATAGCAAAACCCCATCTCTACTGAAAATACAAAAATTAGCCAAGCATGGTGGCATGTGCCTGTAGTCCCAGCCACTCAGGAGGCTGAGGTGGGAGGATAGCTTGAACCCAGGAGGCTGAGGTTATAGTGAACCAAGATTACGCTACAGCACTCCAGTCTTGGCAACAGAGTGAGACTCTGTCAAAAAAACAAAAAAGAATGAATGAATTAAAAGCTAATCGGGGATGGTGGTTCACATCTCTAATCCCAGTGCTTTGGGAGGCCAAAGGTGGAGGATCACTAGAGCCCAGAAGTTCGAGGCTGCAGTGAATTATGATCACACCACTGCACTCCAGCCTGGGCAACACAGTGAGACCCTGTCTTTGGGAAAAAAGCAGGAGAGGGAGCTATTTCAGTTGATTAGGAGGAAAAGTGGAGTGAAGTATGCATGATGCAGAAAAGTGTGTATGTAATTCCATTTGTCTTTTTTCTTTTCTTTCTCTTTTTTTTTTTTTTTT